CGTACGTACGTACTACTAATAATAATAATAATAATAATAATAATAATAATAATAATAATAATAATAATAATAATAATAATAATAATAATAATAATAATAATAATAATAATAATAATAATAATAATAATAATAATAATAATAATAATAATAATAATAATAATAATAATAATAATAATAATAATAATAATAATAATAATAATAATAATAATAATAATAATAATAATAATAATAATAATAATAATAATAATAATAATAATAATAATAATAATAATAATAATAATAATAATAATAAAGATAGGGTAGAACAACATGGTATAAATGAATACGAAACATACATAACCTTTTGAGTGAGTGGCACAAAACATATGCGAAAGTTGGTACAATAAAGCTTCCCAAAGTAATTATCCTGAAAGGGTGGATAGAGCAACACATCATCGCACTGTGATGACACTATTTCCCCTGAAAGCTCAACGAAATTCAATTTTAAAGTACTTACTAAGTATGCGAAATACAGACAGCATGCAGTGTATGATTAAGTTACTGTTACTTACCGTTCAAAAGAGTGAAATTCGGCGCTTCGTTAATATCCTTTTCCTGAAATTTCATTTATGACGATTTGCTATGCATTGTAAGTTCTGTGTCAAAGTGCAAGCCAAGTCCAAAAGATAATTTAAAGAAAAAGTGATACGTCGTACAAGATTTGTGCTTAATGCCTCCTCTCGTATGGCATTTCTGGAATGTTTCGTGTGGTAACAGATATGGCACGAGATGTAGCAATAAGAATAAAATAGCACCCATAAATGAAGTAACGAACCGTTATCTGACTGTCGTATGCCGCCACATAGGAACGAAAAGTATCACGACGTTGATGTTCGTCAGATGTATGCAGTAGCATGCTGCTTATGGTCCTTGACGTCCGAGTCGTAAACTGCCATTCGAAGCTCCAAGTAAGCAAATTAAACTTATTATTACATCATCCATACTAAAGACCTCAATTTCTTAATAAATAAATGTAAGCATATAATTAACAATAATCCATATTAGACCACGCTATATACGTGCAGTGGATATTTGCTTCACATTAAATCATCATGTACAAATTTACTGAGATTAAGCATGTAGTATCGCAGTAGTGAGCAAGAGATATACATGTTGCACAACGACAACAGTTCAGCAGGAATACAACCCAAAAAAAGGAAAAGTAACACCTACAGAGACTGTACAAATACCACTTAACAAACTTGAATGGGAATACTCGAATACTTCACTGATTCTACACATATGTAGTGCAATTTGCTGTGATTCTACACACAGAAAAACCTTACATATTTACTTCCATAACAGTAGCCAAATGAAATATGTCATCCGTTCCGTCGCTTATTTTTCTCGCGGTAACTATAGAGGATAAATAAATCTTTCAATAATAATTTTGTTAAGCAATTAATGATGTGAAGAAAACTCATCATGAGATTGATCTCTACAGCTTAATTTATATTTGCATATACGGTAATAGATCTTCAACATTCCTTATGGAGAACTTATGTAAGTTACAACTGAGCATAGTATCACTTTTGACAACTGTGACGAATATCAGTAAAAAAAAAGTGCACTTAGAAAAGATTTATAACAATTCATACTTATGATGAACATTATCGCTATAAAATAACAATAATACAGAATCCCAGCTCAGGATACAGATGCAACCTAATCATCGATCAGTTGAGCTAAAGCTGCTGAGATCGTCCCATTAATCAATGTAGGATTTTCAGGAAAATTTATATTTCATTCCTGTGTAATATCTCTGAAAAATATTTCGACAAATCAGTGAAGTCTAAAAAAACCATTGTGTCTTTTGTTTCCACCTTCCAATAAAGCTGATATACTACGTTGACAACATTTAAATATTGGTAGACATTGGCAGATAGCAGTGCATTGGTGATACTTCTAGAAATTATTTACAAACACAAGTAAGATAAAACAAATAAACAAATGATGTTTCTATCTACTGCTGCATAAAAAAACCCTCCAAATACTTAAATACTTCCTCGCCTCACCTAAATAAAATATAAAGCCATTTCGTTCATTTGCAATGTCAAAGTAATCCATGGCCAGCCTAAAGGCAGCATTAAATACAGAAATAAAAGCTTAGGATTACATTTTGAATTGAGTGAATAACACGGTTTCGTAACATACGTTTTTGAAGAATTGGTTACAAAGACACGGCAACATTTCATAAGCAATTCCATTATCAAGAAAATCCCAAGGAAGAGATCTAATATTCCAGCAAGTTAAGGCCATTTATAGGAGTTACTGCACTACCAGATCACTTTCAAATTTTAGCGTTCAAAAACAAGTTTATGACTGAAGAACGGAGACAGGGTTTGCATAAGCGAGTTTAAGCCTTTGCAATATAACAGCGAAAGCGGGACGAAAGGATGGCTCCAGTATCCAGGATTCATTCATTAAACGTGATATTTCCATCGGGCACCCTTCTGGTGGTTCCATTCTGTATCCTTTCTCGATATGTCGCACAACATCTTGTATTGGCTGGAATAGTTCGCAGCAGTTGAATGCCGAATCCCAATTCATTTGATAAATAACACTACTTTTTTGAACCTATTCCTGCTTCTCTCTCGTGCTTCTTCGTATAGTTAATAAAATACGCGGAAGCAAAGTCTATCCAATTTCCTTTTTCTTTACATCTTTTAAAAAGCAGTTCAAGAAGTAATGACAGCTGTTGTACAGGCTGTTGTACCGCTGATAAACGATTTTCGGTTGTCACTCTTTTTTAAGATAATTTGGAAAATATGCTTTGCAGTAAAAGCATTCTACACTTTCATTTTTTTTTCAAAGGGTCACAAGAAAAAGTGTAGAAATCTACATGTCCTCTGATGAAAAAGATAAATAAGTGATTCGCAGCTCATAATCTTCAAGCGGTGACTGAAGACATATTAAGTGACCGACTTATTTCTTAATCAAAATAAAATTAGCAATGGAACTCATGGACTTACAATGCGAGGATAAGGTACTCTTCCATATGAAAATATCTCCCACAGCAACACACCAAAAGACCATACATCACTTTTCGTTGAAAACTTCTAAAATGAATCTTCCCATGAAACTCTTACTGACAGGTATCCAACTACTACATTCTAGATTACAGGTCCTAGTCATCCAAGCTCTATTAAGTTATTGAGAAAATGAAGCAAAAAATCAACAAAGATCCTTTGTTGATCTGCGCATTTATAATATACCTTTGTTTCAATTCCAATGATTTTTGATAATCCATCTTGAAGAATTCAACAAAATGCTGAATTGCTTGTTGCTGAATTGTTTATGACTGATATATGAGCCAAGATATTTCAGCTAGAAAGAAATGTAATACTAACACTATATCGCAAAGCTTCGGGAGCAGTCCATTTGATTGGGAATTTGCTAAGCGCACTTTCTGTATAATGACACTCATTGGCATGTTTCGCGAGCCCGAAGTCGCTTATCTTCGCGGTAAGTTCATCATCCAGCAAAACGTTTCTCGCAGCCAGATCACGATGCACCACGTTTTTCATTTCTAGGAATTTCATACCCTCGCAAATATCAACCGCGAACTGAGTTAACTGCATTTTCTCTACCTGATGACGTCCACGTGAACGCAAGAAATCTACCTAAAAGTTGCATCATTTACATATGAAACTAATGAACAGTATACGAAGCGCATCCTCTTCACATCTTCTCTAAACTTTAAAGTTGTAGTAAACTAAAATGAGAATGAAAGTATATGCGAAAACAAATTGAATAACTTGCAAGATTTCCATTAGCCATATATTCTGTCACCATGAACATTTCCCTTGCGTCATCAACGACAACACCCAATAAAGCCACTAAATTCACATGTTTCAAGCCACTGAAAAATTAATAAATTTCACTGGAATGTATGTATTCTCGATTCCTCTATAACAAGTAATAAACAGACTTCTTTGTAACATACATCATAAATTTTGCCTCGTCCAGTAATGATTGCACCATTTCACTACGTTTCAGAACCTTCACTGCTACTCTGTGACCTTCGTAATTTCCCAAAAGCACATCTAAATTAACTATTTAAAAAGTAATCAATTTAAAATATATAGCATATATATATATATAATTCTTTTTTAAAAGAAATCCAAACAGTCATAAAGTATTCAATCAGGATGGAAATCACAGAGTGTCATTATGCAATAACAGTTAATAATAATGATGATAGTGATAATAATAATAATAATAATAATAATAATAATAATAATAATAATAATAATAATAATAATAATAAT